TAAGGGAAGATAGGAAGAAGAACTTGCTTTCATTTTGTGGCCAGATAGAACATCGTCCAAAGTAGCCACAAGTTACACCCCCTAATCCTTAGTGTTTAGGATAGAAACAGTAATACCTATTGAAGTAGTAATCGTGAGGACATGATACTTGCTGCAAGACCAAGAGAATAATGATAGGATCCTAGCACAGGATCATGACACTATTGACGAGCTTTGGGATCTCTCCAAAATACGCATTGTTGCTCATCAACAAAGAATCACCAAGGCTTACAATAGGAATACAAGGGTTACAAGGTTTTACATAAGAGACTTGGTATTAAGGAAAACATTCCAAAACACTAAGGATCCTAGTGAAAGAAAATTGACTCCAAAATAGAAAGGACCATACGTTGTAGATGTTGAAGCAGGAAAAGGAGCATACTGGCTAGCAACACTCGAAGGAAACATTCTACCAAGATCCTGGAATGGCATACACCTCAAAGCATACTACATGTAAGTAGGATGTAATGCTCCACAACAAAACCTAGGTATGCATGCTCTTCACCTTAGAGTTTTTATTATTATTGATTCTCGACTCAAATACATTGCTAACTTAAGCATCGAAAGGGAATTAGATAGACTAACGCCCACCCTTAGCTAACGTTTTCTATGCAAAATAACATATATTTAAGGATCCTCAAAAGTGAAGATCCTGAAACATCATGATCCTCATAATAGAAGATCCTGGAACATCTGGATCCTCAAGTTTGACCACCCTGAAGCACAAGGATCTTGACACATAAAGATCCCAATGCTTGGTAAACTCCATTATATTAAATAATATAATCCCTAAACTATCTTGTACACAAGATAGAGACTGATCATCTCTCCCACTCCTAAGGGTACTTAATCCCCTCTAAGGTTTAAAGAGCTAATTACATCTTTCACATAAAATAAGGTTTATACACCTTGTTTGGATGAATGATATCTAACTTTGGGATATGAATAAGGGGATCATTTCACAATTCGGTGGCTTGGAAACCTCTTATCTTTGAACACAAGTTGAGATCCATACGGTTTATAACATTTTCATGTTATCCAGAAATTAGGATCCTTCCCCAGTGCTTACTCCAGGAATATAACATTTTCATGTTATCAAGATTTTACCCTAGTGACTACTTAAGGTTTATAAAATTCTCATGTTATCAAAGATAGGGATTTTGCCGCAGAAATTACATAAGGTCTATAACATTTTTCATATTGTCACACGTTAGGAATGTCCCCCAGAGAACACAGTCAACTTGAAACATTTTCATGTTACCAACCCAATGAATTATATCTCAAGTAGGGATCCTCCCCAAAATATAACATTAACATGTTATCCATTTTGTCTAAGTCTATAATCTAAATATGTTATCCTAAGGAAGAATTTCCCTTACAAGATCCAAGATCTTTATTTTCTAGGATCTCTGACGGTAAGGATCCTCACCCTTAAAGATCCTCATCGACCTTTGTTAGTAAGGGACCTCATTCCCAACGTTGAACAAAACTTCTCTCCTAAGTTGGAAGTTATCCTCAGTAAATTCTAAAATTCAAAGACTCATGAAGCTTAAAGACAAACTCGAAGGCAATCAGGTTCCATCTTTCCTTAACTTTAATGTTTTGAAATTAAGGATCGTCAGCTTTCCAGGATCCTAAACCAATCCCTGACATATAAACTTTCGTCACAAGAGAGTAATTCACTATTCTGATATCTTCACAAAAGTTTAAAAGCGTATTAAAAAACTCTTATGAGTTGTGAGTTAACCACTAAACTCCTAAAAGAAACTTTTAGATCGCTTAAAAATTGAGCTTTTAACTAATCATTATGAGTTAATTCTTTTAAGAATCATTCACCTTTTTTTTCAGGATCTTAACCGTGCAAAGACCTTAGTATTATATCATGTAGGAAACGGAGAAAGAAGAAAAGAAAATCAACCATTATATTCAAAAACAAAAAGGCCTACAGCCTTAGAAATGTCATGCAACAAAAGATTATGCTATCCTAATCACCTAAAAGGCCTAGATCTTATCCTTGTCGTCATCGGCTTTCTTCTCTGCCCCTGTGCTCAACTTTAATATAGGATCATGATTGGCGAAAACAGGCTTATCAATCAGCTTGGCCAACGCCTCACGCCATCCCTCCACATCCCAGGAACTAGCATTTTTCAGATCCTCATCCATATTGATCTTGGCCTACAGAATAGCTATTGTGTCCCTCATCTTGGCATTAGCAATCACCTCTTCAAGATCCGCCAAATGCTCTTCTTCCTTTTCAACATTCTGCTTGCTCAACAACTCCACCCTTTGGAGAAGATCCTCATTGGTGATCCTCCATGTCTTCTCCTACTCTCTTAGAACAAACATGGCTTTATCAGCTGGACCTTGAGGTCGTTGGTAACTTGAGAAACATGAGCGAAGAACTGGAAGAAACATAAACGTCAACATGAAAAATAATAGGTATGATAGATTAATATAATTGGTGCCTATTCTTACAGTTTGAGAAAACAAAGACAGTTTCCTGAGAGCATCCTCAATGCTAAGGTTTTGTAAGTTGGAGTCTACAGCTCAAAGGTCTTTCATTTTCAGGATCCTAAAGCCATAACCGTAATGACACCTTTTTCCTGCTTAGCTTTGATTGAACCACTAGTCATATCATCTTCATGATCTACCAAACCAAAGCGAGCCTTGGACCAGTAGTCATAGAACCTGCCAGAGATCCCTATCAAGTCAGGATCCTATGAAAATACATATCCAAGAAAAATAATCTTACTAGTGGCCACAGAAGCAGTATTGGACGAACTCTCTTGAATACTGGAATATTCAAGCCTGAACGACCCTTCCACTGCTAGAAGTATGAGGAATTTGGATATCTTGTCCTCAGAATTTCCAGCGGCATGAATTAGCTCCTCAAACCTAAACGCTACATCAAAAAGAACAAAATAAGGGATGTAGATTTCAGGATCCTTGATAACTAAATTTGTTTCCAACCATTTTTAATCCAGGGTTTTGGCAAGGAATCCCCCACATGAATATAATCGTGTCTCACGAAGAAATATTTTTCTTTCTAAACGCCATCGTTTTGTTAAGATTTTAGAATGAGATGGGTTTATTTTTGTTAACTCTTAACAGGAAACGAGAGGAACAAAAGTAGAAAGATCATAGATAGAGGCCAACTCGGGTAATCCAATATCCATATTTTGGACTGTTTCATGCGGTCAATCCAAAAGAGGATCCGCCAAAACCACATGCATAGTTTGGATATAGAAGATTTGAGTACATAAAAAAATCACGAACAATACTTGTTAAAGGATAAGTTAAACCTAGAGTGAACGGATATTCATGAAAACAAACCCACATTGGAGACATAAAATTAGGTTAAACGGTGACCTCGAAAGGACGAAAAACCACGACAAAGGAAAAGCCCTAATAGCTTTTAACGATTCGGTGTCTTCGTTGTCAAAAGAACAAACCTCGTCATAGGATAAAATTCCTTGACCGTTAAAATCGTTCTCTGAAGGAATAACAATGATAGCTCGAAAACAACTAATTTTCTTAGCCATGACATGGAAAATCAAAATAACAGAAGAACGAATAAAAGGAAAAGGGAATGGCCTTAACAATGAGATGATGGAAACTTGGAAGAGTAAAATAAAGAGTTACCGAAACCCCTCAATTATAGATGGGAAAAGATGACGGTGATGATTTGACCATTTCTTGATTATCTCAATAAAGATAAGACATATCCCTTAAAGATTAAATTCAAATTCTTTTTATCTATTTACTTTAAGTTATTCCTTTAATATTTACGGTACTAACCCCTATTTTTCAGCAATAACTTCGGGGCAATTGTTGGGACCAGGATCCGTACTATATCTAGGATCCTGAAATATCCAGGATCCTCAACATCATCAGGATACCAACTAATTACCATTATTATTTTTATTTTTATTAATAATTATAATGGTTATATTTGTCTATAACTAACATGTGTGCAGAAGTAGTCAAGGGAAGACCAATTCTTAATGAATAATTACCTCAACAATACTAAGACTCAGAATATTTGGTCAAATAACGTTCATAACGCTGGTCGTAGAGGATCCTGGAAATATCAAATATCTTGTTGGCTAGATTAGACTTTAAATTGACACTTGTAATCTGCACACAACACACAAATTCTTTGTCTAAGCTCACTCTACAAATTTCTACATTCATTCTTACTAAGAACTCACTGTAATATTTACTTTATATTAATAAAATCATCAAGGCAGGTGATCATTATCACCTCCCAATATTTTATGCCGAAGATCCTAGCAAGTATTAAGGGCTTTCCTTGTAAACCATTGTGTCACTTTTCTTTTACTACATGCTATTACACAATCTAAAGATCACAACTACTACAAGAAAACAACCCTTTAATGATGCACAAACAATAACACGCGCTGATAGAGGACGCACATTTGTGCGTGCCCTAAAAAATAATGTCAGCTTTGCAAAATTTGAAGGATAGAGAACACGCATTTTTGCATTCCCTAAAATTAGTGTAAAAAAACACGGTGGGCACCTACCATAAAAAGCATGTCGTGTAAAGATTTCGCATTATATATTTTTTTTAGGAAGGCGCGTTCCATAAAAAAGTGTGTCGTGTATAGATGTCGCTTTATATATTTTTTTTAGGAAGGCGCGTTCTCGGTTTTTTTAATAGGCGATGGTGGGAAATGAAATCCCAAAAAATTAAACACCCACCCCATGCTTCTTCTCCTTCTACAATCATCTAACAAAGAACCCGAATTCTATTGTGTGGCTGTCAATTCTTTTAAAGCAGCCCGACTTCCTGTACCTTGATCTGCACTCTCTCTCTCTCTCTCTCTCTCTCTCTCTCTCTCTCTCCTTTCTCTTTGCAAGCCCTAATCCGCCATCATCAACATCGAACCCCATTATCTCTAAGCGGCCATGGATTCTGTAAAGAGTCTTTGTCTCGTATGTTTTCACCAGTGCCAGCAGACACTACTCTTCCCTATCCACGATGTCGCCAAGTCTCCGTTGTTGGTAACTCCATCCACGCTCTACGGAAGAACTACACTATTTTGGGGCTAATCTCATTTGCTTCCAATAACGATTTTACGGATAAGGAAGATAAGGATGATGGGTTAGTGGTGGTGGTGGTGGTGGATAAACACCGGCATAGCTATGGGTCCAATACTTCAAGTTCTAATGGCTTAATCGAACTTGGTTCGCACCAGGATTTGAGGTTGGTGAGGCGGATTGGGGAAGGGCCACGACGGAAGGGGAGCAGAGTTGAAATGTGGTCGATGATTTTTTCTGGGAGTCATAGAAACTTGGTGAATCTAAGAATCAAAAACCCTATATTCTCACTGTATCTTGCTTATGATAATCAGACTCACATATGTTTCATGTGGTTTCTTTTGCTTAAGAGTGATTATTGATGCTATTTTTGCAGTCATGGCGACTATGGTTCATGAAGAATCTTATTTTGATGAGGCTCAATTTGATTCAAAGATGAAAGAGTTGTAAGTGTCCCTCCTATAATCCAGTTGCTGATTGAATGTGAGAAATTAGAAAGGTTAATCTTTCACACTAAAGTTATTGATTATACAGGCTTTCACAAGTTAAATTTATGTCTTTATATTTTATAACTGTTTGGTCAACTGATATATAAGCTTTTACATGTGGACATGGTAACACTTTCTTATTTAATTCACAAAGTCAACATGTTGACAATGTAACACTTTCATAATCTTGATTTGGATCAAATAGTCTCTAAACACTACCAGTCATCTTGCACACCAACATCATCAACCTTGAAGTTTCCACCAGTCATCTGATAATTGTAGCTCCATCAATAGTATAAACTTGTATAAGAAAATTATTTCCTTCAGGTTATTAAAGTAGGCCCTTGTTTTAAGGTTTTGAACACTTTATATTAACAATTTTTATTATCTTTTTGGTTATGAGGAAATCCAAATGATGCACATACCTCCTCCCCATGTTACTTATGTGGTGAGGTACTCAAACTGATGAAGTTTTCCCTAAAGCATGACATGGATTGACGACTACTAGTAGAGAATGAAATGCATGTAAGGTAGTAGTTACTTCCTTTAAATTATACTCTCCTAAAATCTAACCTGGCCCACTCACTATTTCATATCTATAATACTTTCTATATTTTTTTTATAAAAATATTAGAGACCCTAACTGAGGAGATTGCTATCAGTTAAGAAGGAGGGGGGACACAAGAAAAAAAAAGAGTTAACTTAAAGGCACAAGAAAAAAAAAACTTAAATTCATGTCAATATAAAGAAAATAAGGGTGTCACTGAAAAATAAAAAAAGAGTAGACAAGTAGGCAGACATCAAGCTTCTCCACCAGCTTTGCCAACAACATTTGCCTTCTGACTCCCTGAGTACTTGTACAAGAATGAAAACCCTACATCTTGAATGACAACCTTACCCTTGATGCACCCTTTAATTTCTTTGTTGTGGAAGGGCAGTATCGTAATTATGTTTACGGGCATGAATATTTCATATTTTTCTTTTCTTATTTCTTTCCCAGAGCTTCTGGTGGGGCATAAAAGATGCTTTTTAAATTGGGTAGACACCCTACCTTTCTTATTGTCAGATTCTATGTAAGCAAGAAGGTGAAAAATGCCCAACCAGCATGCAAGTGATGAGAAATTGAGCATTTAGAAAGAAGTTTGGTCTTCTCATCAAATAGTTGTTCATAGAAAATATCAATAATGAAACCACTCAACAACCCAAACAAACATATAACGTATATTTACTTTACTTATTCGGTTTACAGTATAGATTTCCATCCACATCACTTGAGTGGTCAATACCTGATATGTACAAAGATTTTTTCACAATTATCACTGATGCAAAAACTATCACTGCAGTTATTCCATACTTTGGAGATGCAAGTGCTGATCGAAAAGTAACTTTGCATTATAAATTCTAGTGTAAATTTAAAGGGTACATATAAATTTAACATGTATATATATGTTTTGTTTTATGCAATTGATGAATCAGACTCAAGGATGTGAATCCATTGCAGCTAAACTTGTTGCAAATCTGAGAACAGAAGTAAGCTTTAATTCCATCCCTAATTTGTTAAAAAGACGAAAATACCCATTGGAAATGTTGGTATCTTAATCTATTTCTTTATTTTTCTTATTGTTGATGCCAATTTGACAATTACTGACAAAGGGTCCATTTTCTTTTGTACTGAACCAGATCCTATTTATCTCAGGACTGATAACGACCATTGGAGTCAACTCCTCCTTGCAGTTCTTCATGAAACACAACAACTTTAAGGTTTCTAATACTCACTCATAAAATATTGTTTGTGTGTGATCAAATATTTCATTTATACATCTAGTTATCTATCCTTTGATTCATTCACTGCCTTTATAGGGCACAATTTCATTTGGTGTTGGATTCTTCTTTGTTATCATTGGGTGGCCTGAAATAGTAATGGCAGTAGAGGCTTATGGATTCATTATTCTCTTCAGGTTTGCTTGATACATTTCTCATAGTTTGATTGCTTTTGTATTTGCTCATAGGACTTGCTATTAATTACTTAAGCTTCCATTTATGCAGTGGCTTCTGGCCTACACTATCAGTTTTTGTGTAGAAGATACCTGTTATTGGTTGGATTTTTCAACAAGATTTTATTTTTATGATTAAATAACCAAACTCACTTCCTATCTCTCTTTTTTTTTCAACAAGATTTTTCAACCTATATATATTATAGAAACTGTTTTCAGGAGTTCCCATTTGGACGTTATCGTGCTGCCAAATGCGTTGATTTGGTTTTTGTTTTTGTTATTTCACCTATATCTATATGATATCTCTACCCTTGAGATTTGGTTTTTGTTTTTGTTGAATGTATGTTTTGGGTTTTGTTGTTGTTTCAGACAAATGTTGATAAAGATCAAGGGAAAGCAGCAATCAAAGCTCAAACATGATCAACAGATTGATAATGTAAACCACTATTTTCATCATGTTCTAACACCTTTTTTTACTGATCTGATAATGATGTAAATTTAATGAAACAAAAACAAACTCTTATGGTAGAGACATGTTTCTGCTCAGATATAGAGTTAACCATGAGTCAACTCGATATTTTGAGGCACCAGGCGACTCAGATTGTGGAAAATTAAGTTTCTTTACAAGGCCCATATTATATTTCCATGTTTTGGGAAACATTAAAATTGTGTGCCTTGACATCTTTCATTTGTGTTGTGTTGTTTGGGAGATCGGTTTTTTTATAATTATGTTGCCTTGTATGCGATTTTAATTTGTGTCTAGTGATTGCAGATGCACATCCATCGTTGCAACACCTGTTGTTCAGGAAAAACATGTTACAGAATGTTACAGGCAAATAGTTGTTGTTATGGCATTAGTAATAATAGTATTTGTATATGAGTATGAGTGTTATTCTAAAAAAAGTATTAATATATTTCTTTTAACAGGAGAGAAGTGTGAGGATTGACAAGTTCTCATATACTATATACCTATGTTATTTTCTATATGCACCTCTCTATTCTATGTATATGAGTTTTCGTTGGGTCCTTAGCCTCTTACTTAAGGAGATCATAACACACTTTTTCTATTACAATGCCTTTGTGATTAGGTGAGTGATAAATAACAACATATATCCCATATTCATATTGTATTATCATCTAACTTCCTATCTTTTAATATTATGTAGTGGAATCTAGAAATAATTATCACCTATGGAAGTCTTCATTATTGGATATGGGGTGAGAACTAATTTCACAACCTCCCTTATTAATACATACATTCACTGTCTTATGCTGACTGCATCATTTTCCATATACAGGTCCTAAACTTCATGTGGCTCAAATTTTTCCTCATATGGCGTTACTTCCGATTTTGGGCACTGGTAAGTAAATGTAAATCCCCATTTTTATTTTTTTAATAAAATATAATAAAGTAATTACATTACACACGACTTATTACCTTAGTGTTTGGTTATATGGGAAGGTAAGTGGGATTGAAGCCCCTGAGAATATGCCACGGTGTATAAACAACTGATCTAACTTGGAAAGCTTTTGGAAAAATTAGCATGCGCCCTTTAACAAATGGCTTGTCAGGTAAAGCTTATTATGTATTTTTTTCTAGTTATTATCTAACCTTGAAGAGCTATATATATATATATATATATATATATATATATATATATATATATATATATATATATATATATATATATATATATATATATATGTCTTGTCTTCTCTTTTAAAATCAAGAATGACATTGACTACAACATACTAAATCTATTTTATAAAATGATTCATATTTATAGGTACATGTACATCCTTTTTTGGGGATCTGGAAGGAAGCTTTTAAATGTGTGGGTTGTCTTCACCTTTGTTGCCATATGGCATGATCTCGAATGGTATATAATTTTGGTGGAATTTCACTTTTAATTTTGGTGGAAATTATCCGCATCTAAGTGAGTTTATGCTATGCATAGGAAACTTCTCTCATGGGCATGGTTAACATGCATATTCTTTATTCCTGAAATGATTTTAAAATCAACAGCAACTTCTCTTCAAGTGATGTAATAAGTTTTAATAGAGCAAATTTCAGTGATCTAATATACTTTGTAAAGAATTTAATTTAATGAGTTTATATGAATATTTTCACCATGTAATCTCTTATAATTCGAGATTCCATTCCATGGTGTGTGTGTGTGTGTGTTTGCTGGCCAAATGATGGACGGAATTCAATTCCGTCTGATTCCTTCAACTTCTATGTTTGTTGGATGGATGGATATCACAATTCATAGAAGGAATTTGTTTTTTTTTCAAACACCAAAATACCCTCATTATACATACATACAAAAAACATAAATAGTTTGAGATTGGAATTCCCTGAAATTTGAGTTGTGGTTTTACAGGCTGATAACGTATTTAAGGAGTTTATTTTGAGTGAGCATAATGCATGCAGTTGTTGGTGTTATCACAATCGCGTGTCTCATGGTTGGTGTTGCATAAAACTACCCTAATCTATGTTCCTGAAATAACAACACTTCCAAAGGGACCAATTTCCAATTCCAAAGTTAATTTATTTAAATAATATATAACCAAAACCGAAAAAGTAAAATTGTGGGCTTTTTCATCGGATCAATTTCCACGAATACGCTGGTTTAGTTTAAAAGAATTTGAAAATGACCATTTTTCCCTTATATGTATTTGGCAGGTGGCTAACCTTGTGGGCTTTGTCATCGGACCATCAGGCATAAGTTGGCTAAAATCAGTATTTCTTCAGAAAGAAGGTTTCTATTTCTATTTTTATTTTCCCCAAATGTGTAGGTTATCTTCACATTTGTTTCCATATGGCATGATCTTGAATAGTATATAATTTTGGTTGCAAGAGATGAGTTCAAAAGAAGATGAAGAAGAAACAAGGTTGTAACTATAGTTCAGGTACTATGGATAGTATTTAAGAAAATGATTAGAAACAAGGGTGAATAAGCAGAAAGCAAATCTTACACTTCAATGTCTATGGAGATCAAAGATAGCAGGAAAGAATTAAGAATGTTGAAGCTGGTGAGTGGATTTTCTGCAAAAAAAAATATATATATATATAAGTATTATATAATACCATTTTATCTAAGTGCTTTGACTTATAAGACTAAATAGTAATTAAAAAAATATAATATGTTGTCACAGCTAATGACAAACTGGATATTAGACTTTGAAAAGTACTTGAGGGTACATTTTTTTTTATATTTCATGTATCTAATTAGCTTGTAATTTTTTTTACAACTTTTGTTGATTTATTTTGTCTTTCTATGGAATGAATATTTGTTTGACATTAAATTTTATGCAATGGATTGTATTTTTTGTATATGATATTTTATTTTCTATTATGAGATATTAAATACAAATTTAATTTAAAAATTAGTTAATCTATAAATATTTTTTTTAACATTTAAAATTATGATACGCAAAAATATGTGTCATCTTCATTTATGACATGGCCTTTCTCGACAGCGGCTGTAATGATACGCAATGCATGTCGTAAATGCACGTCGTAAGGTTACGACACGCAAATATGTGTCATGTTCCTTTATGACAGGGCCTACCTTGATACGCAATGCGTGTCGTAAACGCACGTTGTAAATGTGTGTCGTAATTGCGTGTCGTAAATGTGCATAGTAAATTGACGACGAACAAAAGCGTGTTGTCTCTCGTTATGACAGGGCCTTCCTTGACACACATTTGCGCGTCATCTGAGCGTTTTATGACACACATTGCGCGTCGTGAAAGGCTGTTTTTCTAGTAGTGAATCTCACATTCAATTTGGTTGATTAGTACTTGTGTAATTTTTGACCAAAACACCTGTTTTGAGAAGTTTTTCTACATCTTCTTCTATAACTTGATTTCTTTCGGGTGGAATTTTCTTCTCTTTTAGTGTATTGGCGTGAAAGATGTGCAAGATTTAGTTTTTGAGTTATTATGCGGTTGTCCATACTTGTCATGTCCTCATGTTTCCATGCAAATGTTTTGCTTCTGGCCTTGAGGAACTTTACAAGATACTGTTCAATTTGTTCATGCATTGAGGATCCTATGCAAATTTTAGCTTCATGATCCTCAATGTTCAGGGGAACTACTTTTATGTCATTCTCTCTTGCTTCTAACATGTGTCATGCCCATGCTTTAATTTCTATGCTTGTCATGCTATTGTTGCATATTTCATTGAGATATTGTAGCATTCCTTGGATTCTCATTAGTCTCTTGCGATCTTCACTATCCCCCATGGGGTAGGCATCTTCACACATTTATGGTATGTTGATGTGATGAGCTTCATTTTATGGATCCAAGGCCTACATAATATGAGATTATAAGAAGTAATGTATCAATTACAGAAAAACGTTGATAATAATTTACTCCCTCTTTGTAGATTGGTAGCTTTGTCTCGCTAATGGTGTGTTTAGTTTCTCCACTTAAGTAGATCAGTACCGAGGATCTTGTGACTATCTCATATTTCGAGATGCCCATTCTTTTTAGTATATATAGGTGTATGATGTTAATTGAGGATCCTCCATCCATGAGGATACTTCTGACGAAGTGGTTCGCAATATAAAGATTAATCACCAGTCCATCGTGCTAAGGATCTTGGACGTCTAACCTATCCATTTCGTTGAAGAATATCTCCTTTTGGTTTGTTATCATTGTGTTTTTTTGTGGTCCTTTTCTTTTTCCATTTTGGGAACCTTGGCATGCCTTTTTGCTACAGAGTAAGAGGTACCACAAATGTTTGACCCTCAAGAGATCATGTTGATTAGCCGGTGGGGATCTTAGTCTTTCGAGGATCTTCTGAGGATCCTAATCCTTTTCATTGGATTGTTCTCTTCTTCTCCCAAGGATCTCTTTAAGATATCCTTGGCCCATAAGGTAGCCGATTTCCTTTCTGGGAGCTATGCAATCATGTGTGATGCGACCAAAGTCCTCATGATATGCACATCATTTTGACATATCCTTCCAAGAAGTGGATTTTTCTCCTTTCCTTGGCCATTTGGCTTTTTATCCTAGATCATGCATGCCAATGATTACACCTGAAATATCCACAAAAAAACCATAATTAGTAGTTTTAGGGAAATCTTCATCCTCCCCCTCATTTTCAAGGTAATTAAACTTATGATGGTCGGGTTTGGAGTAAGGCTTTGACTTATAAGATCTTTGGGGTGAGGAGGCGGCCTTCCTATTGGACAATCATAGGAACTTAGTAGGTTACTACTTTTCTAGATATCCTTGTCTTCTTCCAGTCTGATGAATCTCAATGCCATGCTTCTGACTTCGTCTGATCCCCTGCATGGAGTCATTACGAGACCCTTGTAGAAGGGAGATTCCTTCTTTATGCCCATTTTCAATGCTTCAACTCGAGTTTCCATGTAGATATTGGGGATACTAAAGGCTTCTCTGCCAATCCTGTTCACAAAGTTCCTGAGGGATTCCTGAGGATCTTGAACCACTCGATAGATCACTAATGATCTTTGCGAATGTCCTGCTGCAAGAGAATTGTTTATTAAATAAATTAATCAAATGAGAAAATGACGTGATTGAATAAGGAGGAATGTTAAGGAGCCCTTGCATAAGCAGCCTTCTTTAAAATGTGTGGAGATGGGAATAATTTCCATCCTCACCGTGTATTGCGCCACGTGCTCCTCAGGATCTGTGGTTCCATCATATGGCTTCTTGCTAGGGATCTGAAAGCATTTTTGAACTTTAGTGTCGTCTATTGGTGGGACGAATCTAGAGATCCTTTCACTAGTTGGGGATGCTTCTAGCACTAGCTAAACTTTTTTGGGCCTGCTTAAGATCATCTGTCATAGTTGTTGTAGCTGCTTGGCTCAGACCAGGCTCAAACCAATGTCAATATCCATCAAGTTAGTTGTAAAATTATTATTCGTGTTAGAGTTACCAGGATCCTTGTAATTGAGAGTAAAAAATGGTTTCGTTGGGATCTTAAATCTTGTAATGGGTCGCTGAGGATCCTACAGTCTCAAAGTTCAAGATTTTAGGCTGTAAGACCGATGGTGATTCTTCCTGAGGCTTATGAGTTTTCTTCCTCATTCTCTCCAATTCCTTGAGAAGTGTCCTCTTATGCTCCTACTATTGGGTGACCTGTCACTCCAGTCTCTTCATTATAGCAGATACTTCGTTCTTGGAAATCATCACAGGAGAATCTTGGAGTCCTGGAGTAACCGGAGAGGTGGTTTTCTTCGGAGTTTTCGATACTTTCTTGGGATCCATAGTTGGTGGTGGTGGTAGGATTATATAGGAAATGGGAGGAATTGAGGAAGAGGAGAGATTTGATAGAGTATACATGATTTTATGATGGACTTTGAACACCATGACCCCATGGTGGGTGCCAAATTGTTTTGGTCAAAAAATAATTGAGCTAAAATGGACCAAAATGTATGAGAGGATTTGATGTTCAATGTAATGCAAATAACCAAAATGAATAAAGACAACACGAATCGTTTACAAGGAAAGCCCTTGATCCTTGTTAGAATCTCC